ACCTTGTCTCTGTGTCTAATTTACTGAATGTAAACAAACACCAGTAAAAACGTTCAGTAAAGGATCTCTTTTCTCGGATACTTGCTCCTAACCCCTTTTCATCACTTTCTTCTCTGCCACCCTCTTCCTCGCCTCTCCTTCTTCTTCCATCCTCTTCTTTCCAGCTTCCTCCTATGTCTTCCCCCGTCTTCCACTTATTAAGTCTTCTCCTTCTTTCATCCCATGGGTTTATTTGTTCTGCAAACATGAATGTGTATTCACTGCGGGGCTGCGATATTTGCCCATTTTGGTCGCTATCAATGCCAAACGTGGACACTTACATCCTCCAATAAACGTAAAATTGTGACAACAGAGATTAAATGCCTTAGAAGAGCTGCAAGAGTTTCAAGGAAAGACAGAGTTCGAAATCATGAATCAGACGAATGCTAGAAATAAAGCCAGTCTTACAGGTCATCAAAGAACAACAAATGAAGTGGTTTGGACACCTAACAAGAATGGCCTAGTACTATCCACCACAGCGAGCCACACCAAAACGTTACAACGGGTATAGAGCGAGTGGAAGACCTCGGAAAATATGGAGTGATGACATTAGGAACAGCCTTACAGAAATGAAAATCAGTCTTAATAGTGCTCTTGACAGAACTCACCAACGAACATTACATCTTCCCCCCCCCCCCCCCCCCCACACTTCGATGAGGTAAAAGGTGGAAGAGAAGAAGAAGAAGAAGGTCGATATTTACTACTTTCATGGAACAAGAAAGCAGCAATCACACAAAACACACTCACCTGGATCATGCCTGCCGTGGCAATGAGTTCATGCCAGGGATTGTAGTATTCTATCCGTGCAGCATACACCGAGTAGGCCCACAACGTTTTGGAGTTTGGCTTGGCAATGAGATCGCTGAACTTTTGTCTGGAGATCAGGTTTAGGCTGACCACGTTGCTGAAATAGTCTGACTCGTTGATGGTAATCTAAACAGTAGAAAACGAGGTATATCATCATCATCATCATCATCATCATCATCATCATCATCACCATCATCGTCAATATTCTGTGTCATGCCGGTAAGCTTAGACTGTCATGTTTCACTATCTCATACGATCACCAGAATCACGAATCAGTTCAATGTTTTTGTGTGGTCCTAACTCATCCTTCTGGCCAGGCTATCCGGGTATTTATCTCTTTGCCTTAATCTTGCTCTGTTTCCCTAAATCTTATCAATTTTTACCACGTTCTCAAATACATTCCTTCACATAGCATCTACAAACAACATTGGCCGTCTAATTATTTTAATGAGTTTAGGACTTTCTTCTGTCTCGATGAAAACTGATTATTTTGCTTTCTATCCTTCCATTCTATGTGTCCGTGTGTGTGTGTGTGTGTGTGTGTGTGTGTGTGTGTTTTGCGTGTGTGTGTGGGTGACTTACCACTTGAGGAATATTAAACACAGATAAGACACACACACACAAAGGACAAGATAACTAAAAAGATATCAATATCATGTTTTATCGCTTATACAGCACATAAGTCTCGCAATCGAGTCAGCAATTTCGTTATATCTCATTGTTGCTGTTGATGTTGTTGTTACTGTTGTTGACCTTTAGTTCTGGCATATCTGAAAGCGGCCTTGTACATCTTTACTTTGCGTGTACAAACTTAAACATTTTGCTGAGACTGAGAAATGTTCCACTAGTGTTGAAATTGGATAGTGAAGGACATTTTGTGTGATTTCCACTGGCATAGGAACGGAGCACTCATAGGGTCTTGCGTATGTTGTGATGTTCAAATCCCGACTAACATGTAAAGCTCTTGAGTTGCCATCCCAGCTTAGAGCTATTGTTATACGCGATTCATCCATATCTTCAGCAGCCGGCGCAGAGTTCCGATTCTAATGGTACCAGCATCTAGTGATGTCTTTTCGATATCCAGTCAGTCATTTCTATAATCTCTCGTTAATGTTGGTGGTAAGATTTTATTTGGACGCCATCGCTTCTTCAATCAATTCGATTCCTTGTTTAGTGACTGTTTTATGATTCTTTGTCGAATTTGTCTCAGAATGGATCCATTATCTATTGTTTTCTTCTTCTCCTCCTTTCCTTCCTCTTTTACCGCTTTGGGCGCCGAGAGAGAGGACCAAGGACCCTTTTCCAAGCCTCCAAGCGTATTGAGTCTATAGGGTAGACTTATATTTTATAGACCAATCGGCACTCAGTGGATGATGTGGCCAGCATCACGCCGGCCACCTTTACTTCCCAGGACTTTACCTGGTGCCCATTTAAGGCGGGGATGACCTAGGAGCCAAGGTCAGTTTTGAATAAAGTCCAACTGCGTTTGGATTCGAACCAACGACTTTCGGTTCTGCAGGCGAGAGTCTGGCGCTACACCATAGCTTCTCCCGAGAGAGATATAACGATTCCGCTTTAACATTACCAACAAATACCATTTTAAATTTCATAAAATGTCACGTAACGATTAGTCCGCTGCCGACTTGTTAGGCATGTCGCTAATTATCTGGATATCGTTGGCCAGGACGTTTCAGAGTGACACAGGTCTAATATTTCGTCGATTTTCGCCAGTATTTTTTAAAGGATTAAAATAACAAGGCAGAGCGGGGAAAAAAGCCATCGTAGAGAAAATCAACTCACTATGGAGTGCAACGAGTCCATGTATGTGTCGTTAACCATAAAATCCGGATAACCGATCTTGTACAGGCCCTCCTTTACCTGTAGGATAAGATGAAAACACAGCAAGAATCACAAGATAAGAATACGAGACGACTTGATTACAATAAAAATAAAAAAGCTTTCTGTCAAGAAAACAATATGTGAGTAATAATTTGAGTTCGTAAAGTTCATGGGATCGCTTCATTCATTGTGTCTCATCAGTCGTATAGTCGGTATGCAAGAGACACTAAATCAAACATAATTTTTTAGAAAATGGGACAATGAAGTCGATCTTGTCAACTTTAATTTCAAAGTTAGAACTTGAAACCTTCATCTCAGATGCAGAACTACTGGTTCACCCGTGTCAGTGTTTCCGGACCACGGCTCATACAGTTTAAAACCTATCTACAGCTCTTCACGGCCAGTGATCTTCTTCTTCTGCGTTCATTTGAAGATGTAATTGTAAAAACTCAAGTCCCCGAGCCAAGCTGAGTGGAGCTAAAAAATGCTATCACAGCATTCGGGACATTCTCAAAAGCTCTCCGTGTTCAGCTCACTTCTAATTTCAATGGTGCCAGAAAAAGGCATTCCTAAAAGCTCTTTGTGCTCATCTCAGTTTTAATTTCAATGGTGCCAGAAAAAGGCATTCCTAAAAGCTCTGTGTGTTCATCTCACTTCTAATTTCAATGGTGCCAGAAAAAGGCATTCCTAAAAGCTCTCTGTGCTCATCTCTGTTCTAATTTCAATGGTGCCAGAAAAAGGCATTCCTAAAAGCTCTCTGTGCTCATCCCACTTCTAATTTAAATGGCGCCAGAAAAAGGCATTCCTAAAAGCTCTCTGTGCTCATCTCAGTTCTAATTTCAATGGTGCCAGAAAAAGGCATTCCTAAAAGCTCTCTGTGCTCATCCCACTTCTAATTTAAATGGCGCCAGAAAAAGGCATTCCTAAAAGCTCTCTGTGCTCATCTCAGTTCTAATTTCAATGGTGCCAGAAAAAGGCATTCCTAAAAGCTCTCTGTGCTCATCTCACTTCTAATTTCAATGGTGCCAGAAAAAGGCATTCCTAAAAGCTCTCTGTGCTCATCTCACTTCTAATTTCAATGGTGCCAGAAAAAGGCATTCCTAAAAGCTCTCTGTGCTCATCGCACTTCTAATTTCGATGGTGCCAGAGAAGGGCATTCCTAAAAGCTCTCTGTGCTTATCTCACTTCTAATTTCAATGGTGCCAGAGAAGGGCATTTCTAAAAGCTCTCTGTGCTCATCTCACTTCTAATTTCAATGGTGCTAGAGAAGGGCATTCCTAAAAGCTCTCTGTGCTCATCTCACTTCTAATTTCGATGGTGCCAGAGAAGGGCATTTCTAAAAGCTCTCTGTGCTCATCGCACTTCTAATTTCGATGGTGCCAGAGAAGGGCATTTCTAAAAGCTCTCTGTGCTCATCTCACTTCTAATTTCGATGGTGCCAGAGAAGGGCATTCCTAAAAGCTCTCTGTGCTTATCTCACTTCTAATTTCGATGGTGCCAGAGAAGGGCATTCCTAAAAGCTCTCTGTGCTTATCTCACTTCTAATTTCAATGGTGCCAGAGAAGGGCATTCCTAAAAACTCTTTGTGCTCATCTCACTTCTAATTTCAATGGTGCTAGAGAAGGGCATTCCTAAAAGCTCTCTGTGCCAATATAACTTCTAATTTCAATGGTGCCAGAGAAGGGCATTTCTAAAAGCTCTCTGTGCTCATCTCACTTCGCAGGCTTTATCATTTTTGATACTCGAAAGATTCTCTCCCGTTGAATTTTTACTTTCCCTGTCACTATGATATGTCTTTGCAATGAATCTCTGCAGAGGTGCTTCCTCTTTCTCTCTGTCTTCTGCCAAGGGCATACTGTTTTCTGTGTAAATATAATTACTGCTACATTTTCTTAGCCTTAGTCTTAGTCTTAGTCTTAGTCTTAGTTTCAGCTTCATAGCAAACGGGTTGCCCCATCTTTGCTCCGCTCCTGTGCCAGCGAAAAACACGCAGAATGTCTATCACAGTAACCTTGTGGAAAGATTGACAGACTGCTGTCTCAGCATATCTAGCATACACTCGCATTAAAGCATATGGTAGCCATCCGAAGTGCTAACACAAACAGTCCAACATTAGAAATGCAGTTCATCATTGATGATAGCAGAACTTGTCGTCAACGGATCAGCAGTTGTCCGCGTGATAAATTTTAATACGGGTCCCGCAAGCATTGAACGACAGGGACAGGCATCGTGCCATTTTCTGAATCTACAATTCACACCACCACGTTGGTCACAGTCGAAAAAAACACATTCCAAATGCAATCCGCAGCTCACAGGGTCACGCCATGCATTCAACTCAGAAGCTGGGCGACGAAACTATATCCAGTCTACAAATGGAGCAAAAATGCATCGGCCACCGTCCGGCAGAAGCAAAAAATTTGCCTCTGTTCCGAACGGCGCCGCTGTCTAGCGTCCATTTTAACCGCTTTTCTTCGCATTTGTCTGTGCAGTTTCTAGAATTTCTAGAATATTGTAAGGGACTGATCACGTTCAGATGCGTTCATTAAAATGTCCCCATTAATATTTGTATGTGCATTTGCTGCACAACACGTGCACTTTTCTACATTTTCTGCTCTTTCTTTAATATATAATAAGACTCCCGGTCCTTTTTAGGATGGAATTTTTCGTTATTTGAAGCCCTACTCTGGCTCTTGCCAGGGGCCGCAATATAGCCTGGCCATAAATATGGCCTAAAGGCTGAACGCGGTTTCTGGGACCTCTTCACGGTGATCCTCATCCACATGGTGGCACATTGTGTCATCGGGTGTTTATCGCTTGTGTGATATCCTGGTGGGGTAGTATGTTAGTCAGTCTTTTGTGACTTTTGTGGAATCCCTCGAACTTTCATAGGAAACAAAAATCAGTAAGTGGCCAAACAACCAAAACTTCTGACCAGAGTTAACATTCGTTGAACGCTAATAAGAAGATAATAAACAGAAGAAACCTTCATCTAAAGAAAAAAAAAAAAAAACCTTGGTTTTAGCAGACTGCTTGTTGTCGTCGGTCATCCAGCTGAAGCTAGAGATGGCCTGGTACATTTCCTCCTTGATCTGCTCCAGGATGTTGGTCGCCTGAATTGCCAAAAACAGACTACAATGGTACACACTGTACACGTTATTGTTATTCTTGAATGTAACACGTTATTGTTATTCTTGAATGTAACACGTTATTGCTTTTCCTGAATGTAACACATTATTGCTTTTCCTGAATTTGACACGTCATTGCTATTCATAAATGTAACACGTTATTGCTATTCCTAAATGTAACACGTTATTGCTGTTCCTGAATTTACTTAAAAACAGATTCCCCCCTCCCCCTTAAAAGCAATGGATTATGTCCCCATCAGGGTTCGGGGGTCTTTCTAGGGTGGAGTAAGGATGGGGTGGGAAAGGGGAGTGGGTATAGACCCCCTGTCCTCTTGAGAAGAATGTTGTAAAAGGCTACAAATTAATGATCAGTTGGGCTTAAAGGCGCACATATCTGTCGCATGACAGCCCACACCCTCTCGTCTTAGACATGCTCGGATCTTGTCACCTCTATATAAATAGGGCACTTTCAAATAGTGGACTCTCCTCTATAGGTAAATAGTCCTTCTCTTGTAATTATGAGTCAAGTTGTCGCGTAAGTACTCAGTTATATCCTAATTATTTTAGGAATGTAATATATTTAAATTTTAAACCCAAAATGGGGGATTCATTGATAGTGAAGCCAAAATTCTAGTGGCCTAACTACCGCTTTGGACGCGGATGAATCGCCTCCCCGCCTCTATCGGGAGTGACGCTTAGTTTGAACTAATTCTTCACTGAGCTTCTCGAGCGGACACAGACGGCTTGCTGCCTTTTATGTATGTCTGCTTAGCTCTGTTTGAATCACCGATTCATCCGAGAATTTCCTTGGGTAAGTACATTATAGTTTATGAGTACCATGCAGGTGGCCCTGCTGCTAAGTGTAGGACAGAGGTCGCTATGTGAAATAATAGGACCGGGCGGTCCAACCATTCTAACTGAAGGAGGGCTCGTGACTAATTTTATTACAGGTGTGTCGTCACATTCGCCGTGCTAGGGCTTGGAATGTAAACACATATCGACAAGAAAGATATCTGTATCGGGTTTAGGTGGCGTGCGGGTAGCAAACATCTATATTCCTGTATTTGTGGTATACTTGCGTGAGTATAGGTATCCAAGTATGGAAAGGGAAGGTTATCCTTCTATAGGTTGGCATACGCAAACTATCGCTGTTAATGGAAAGCAGCCTTTTAGAAAGCCTAGTTTCCTGCTAACCTCTCAGCGGACAATGGCGATCCTTGGGTTTGTTACAAACTAATGCAGTCTTTCAAAACCAAGCGCAGATCTCTGAGTTAATTAATATAGATAGATAGACGGGTGGTGTACTTGGTATGGTGTTGGATAATTACTAATTCTGATTTTCCTTTTTGTCACAGGATATTAGTCCAATCTGAAGGCCAAGTCGAAAATCAGTATCCCAACATTATCCAGTTTAACCCACATCCAGCAGACAGGAGGAAGAATCTGTTCGAATTGCTCACTCCTGTCCATATACCATGTCAGCGATTCCAGAGTGACAACTGTCGGTGGTTCTGTGAGAGCCAACACCAGCTGGTATTGTAAAGAACTATAGGTTGGGTAGCCATACTACCTGCCACGACCAGAGGGTGACATAAATTTTAGACCATAACTACTGATTACCACGGACCCAGCTTCCTTGATGTACCTAGGACAGTGACATTATTATTTGTTTAGACAGTTTATTTTGATTGATTGTTGGCAGTTTGCTGAACGGCATTTTAATAAAGATTTCTCAAGTCATCATGCCTGCTCCACTAAATGTATGAAGAGGCCTCCATTAAAATAAACAGGACATCTTGGACAGATAAGTCGTGTAGGCCAGCACCTGCGGTTAATCCTTAACCTAAATGCTAGTTCCCTAGGTCCAGAATTCCACATTTTGGCAGTGATGATTTTAGCTGCTACTAGGGACAAACCAGGAGACTATCTCCAATAGACTGATCTTTGATTCATTAGTGGGGATTGATATTGCTGAATCCTTTTCTTTTTATTCCTACATGTGTTGCATTGATTACATAATGTTTTGTGATTTTTACTTTCTGTTGTTAGTGTCCATCCTTCACAGTTCCTGATTGTCTGGAGTATTTGTGGTATTGTTATACTTCATGTTATCCTGTGTTATTTTGATTAGCATAGGATTACTATCTAGTCTGGTTACTTAAAAGTAGTGAGGAGGTCAAGCCACGTTGCCCCTTGGAATGTTTATGTATTCTGTAGTGCTATAATTTGAGTTGCCTCACCCCTGAAGTAGTTTGGATGTTCATTGGAGCTGCGGGATTTCGCCTAGACCATTGAGAGCCAACATCTCAACCCTAAAACTACTTCAGAGTGCCTTTTTGGTTCATTAGGGAAAACCCTAACAAAGGCTCGTGACACTGGAATTATGTGGCAATATCACAGACTATCTGTAAACCACCAGACAGCCTACCCACATCCTTTTTTAAAGGAGAATGCTAATGAAAAAAAAAAAAAGATACTTTGTCAGGTTGTCAGAGCTCTGACAATGGCTTGGAGACCGCAGTAACCTATAGAGGTATGCATATAACACACAAGAACTAGAGGAGCTGACATAGAACTACAGAATCTTAAAAAATCCGGCAAATTTAACATAGTTTCCTGCCATCCTCAAACACAGATTATGTAAATTCCTGGAAGGTAAAAGTGGTCAGCGTGATGCTTACCACATCACAAAACGAGTGCCTTTTGGTCTGTAAAATATAGATCTAGCCTTACGTGCCCAATAGACCTAAAGGCATGCAAAGGGGTCTTTTACTTTATGATCCTCGCCGTTGCTACAGAGTTCGCTCATTGCGCTGAGATTCTTCGGACTCAAGGTTGTGTTAAAAAGTAGAATGGAGTACTTATGTGTTACTACCCTTGTGCCATGATGTTGATCCGTCTTATAAATCATTGCAATCCATTACTTTATACACTCACGTATCCACGCGTATGAATAAATTATCCAAAGAGGACATAGATACGAATGAAGATTTGCGTGGACTAACACCCACTTACCTCTTGTTTGTCATTTTGATTGACATAATTTTTGACAAAAACAGCACCCATGGCGTCTCGCATGGTTTTACTTGCCTAGAAGCGCAGAGGGAGAGAGCAATTTTAACCCAAACAAAAGTAGTTCACCAACATATTTAATAAGTTTTCACGCATAACATGTAAGTATGCCAAAACTACGACTATCATTTTATCAAACCATTACTTTCAGAAGGAGAAAACAAAATTGTAGAAACGAGTTTTTACATCGTTAATTACTCTGAGTAAGTGTGTATTGGCTAATGAACAGCATCCCGTCTCGAAAGCTGACATATTTTGGTCATATCAAGCGCTACGACGGATTGGGAAAAATTATAGCGGAAGGCATGGTACCAGGAAGGAGGGGTAGGGGCCGACCGACGCGAAGATGGGCACAGGATATAAGTGACTCCTTGAGTGTGAAAGTGCATGAGGCGGGAGAAATGGCTAGAGACCTAGTTTCTTTCAGGCAGACTGTGATGAGAGCGACGTTCTGGAAAGGACCTGCTACATGATGGTGAAGTTTATTTTATTTCAGATTAATATCTGACATTACTACCTGTATCGTGGTATAGTCTGAAGATTTAGGTCTGCATGACTAGTGCTGTAGCCACGAACTGTGCAGATTAGGATTTTATTTTTGCACTCAATAGAAATAAAAAATAACATAACCTTCGGATGAATCGATCTTGTGTCCATCGCGTTAAAGCCTAGCTTTCTGAACCGTTCGTTTTTACTATGTTCAGTTTGCCATTGAGTCTTCGCCTCAGAATAATGAACTCAGTTTCAGAATTCCGATATCTTGAGGCGATACGTTTGATCCATCGTATGGGAACTGTAGATTGAGATTTGTTTTTTGTTGTTTTATCAAGGAGCTAACTTGAGCCTCACTGAATTGAACATTCACCATGGGGTAGCAGGTCTTTCGTCAGCTCTTCCGCCTCGTGCACAGTCATATCCAAGAGTCTTTTATATCCTGCGCCCATCTTCATGTTGTTCGGTCCCTGCCCCTCCTTCCTGGCAATATACCTTCTGCTATCATCCCCCCCCCTCCCTAATCCGCCAAGGCACTTGATATGGCAAAAATATTTCAGCTTCCGAGACACAATGCCGTTTACTAGACAATCTTCCTTGATGTTTAGATCGTTTAAGAGGTCAACATTTTGTTGTTGTTGTTGTTGTTGTTGTTCATTGTATTCTAAGAATCTTTCTATACCATGTCAGCTCAAAAGTATATATCTTCTTCCTTAAGGACTACGGGATAGCCCACGACCAGCATCCTTATATGGCTACAGGGAGGATGCATCCTCTCAGAATTTTTACTTTTATTTTATTTTTGCTGGTGCATTAATGCTGTTTATTCAACCAAACTGTCAATCAACCAGCCAACTAATTAACTAACTAACCATTCAACCAACCAGCCAAACCAACTAACCATTCAACCAACCAGTCAACCAACTAACCTATCAACTAACCAATCAAACTGTCACAACAATTGTCCTAGCAACTAACCAACTAACTAAACAACCAATCAGACTGACTTACCCAATACCACACCACCAAACTACTAATCACTGACTCAGGAATGCACATAACAACCAATCAACTGAACAATCAGTCAGAGTGAGTATTCCATAAAAAAAAAAAAAAAGCAACTAACCAACCACTTAGCCAGCCGATCAAATTGACTCACATATCCACAAACCAACAACCAACCAACCAACCAATCAACCCAAAAAAAATTTTTTTTTTTTTAAATATAAAAACAGCACATTAAAAGATACACCAACCAACCAATGAATCAACCTACGCACATACCAAACTACCAAAAAATACATCAGCTAGTCCTTGCATCCACCAACCAATCAACACATCAACCGATTCACCTATACAACCAACCAACCACTCAGCCAATCAGCTGACACACCCACGCACACACCTATCCAGCACCCAGCCAATGAACTGATAAAATCAATAAATCAACGAATCGACCAAAAAATAAACTACCCCAACCACTCACCACCCAACCAATTAACCACCCAACCAACCAACCAACCAACCAACCAGCCAACCAACCAACCAACCAACCAACCAACCAACCAACCAACCAACCAACCAACCAACCAACCAACCTAAGTCAACAGTTGGACCAGCGAACATAGTTGCCTACCACTTGAAAACAGTTTGCATATCCGGATGAAGCGTCCTTGGTTCCGTACATGGTGTTGATAAAGTCTCGTCTGGCATGCACGTAATCCCAACTGAGATCATCGATGTAGTTGTTGATCAGCTGCCACATTAAATAATTGTGTAGCTTTCTGAAATACATTGTACACAGTGTGACTAACATAAAAGATACATGTGTAGCTTTCTGAAACACATTGTACACAGTGTGACTAACATAAAAGATACATGTGTAGCTTTCTGAAATATATTGTACACAGTGTGACTAACATAAAAGATGCATGTGTAGCTTTCTGAAATACATTGTATAGTTTCTTTTTCTTCTTCTTTTTTTTCAGCGTTCCGAGCCCTTGAGGTTCATTGATGCAGATATCACCTGCCTCCATTTATATCTCTGATTGGCCTTCTCTTTCCAGTTGTTGAGAACAAGTGTTTGTAGGTTTGTCTGAATATTATCTCTTCCTCGTCTTGTTGGTCGGCCTCGTGGTCTACGACTTTTCAGCTCCACTGTAAATGGAGTTTTGTACCTCCCTGTCAAATGATATTCTTTCAATATGCTGTGTGGCAGCGAATCTTGTAATGTCACTGAACAAATAAGGAAGAATTTGGAAGCAACAGAAGTGGTTTCTTAGACGAATATTACGAATACCTTGGACTTCCAGAATAACTAACAACGATTGCTTGAAAGAGGCTAATGAAAGTAGATCTCTATATGTAACAATAACAAAGAGACAAACACTGTTCTTTGGTCAAATAATGAGAAGAGAAACATTGGAGAACATCCTGACAACTGGAAAGATCAGTAGAAAGAGGGGTAGAGGCAGACCAAGAGAGATAATGCTGGATGGGCTAAAACAATGGCATGGAGGGATATCATCAAGAGAGCTACTCCAGTCAACCAGGGATAGTGCACACGATGATGATGATAAGCTGTGTTCCTTTAGCAGATGCATCTGTCATAGGCCTGCAGCGCAACCATAGATTTAGACCCTAGACAAGCAGGTCGTTGACATACGGACAGTTTCAACACTGCCAAGTCCAGGCGCAGCTGGACAAATCCATAACTATCTCAGAGTTCACTACCTCCACCACCACCATCACGACAACAAAAGCAACGACAACAAAAACAAACCGTCCATTGAAAACTACCTTTTGCCTTCCTTAGTGGACATCAAGCTGACCAGTTTAGGTCCCAGTACGTGGAAGAACTGGCTTTTCAGCACGGCCACTTTTGTGTCTGTGGAAAACTGTGAAGCCACGGCAGGAAACTGCGACTTGAAGTAGTCAACAAAGTCGATCTGGTGGAAGCAGCTTGGATTTACTTAGTATACACGCTGTCTGTCTGTCTGTCTGTCTGTCTGTCTGTCTGTCTGTCTGTCTGTCTGTCTGTCTGTCTGTCTGTCTGTCTGTCTGTCTGTCTGTCTGTCTGTCTGTCTGTCTGTCTGTCTGTCTGTCTGTCTGTCTGTCTGTCTGTCTGTCTGCCTTGTCTGTCTGCCTTGTCTGTCTGTCTTGTCTTGTCTGTCTGTCTGTCTGTCTGTCTGTCTGTCTGTCTGTCTGTCTGTCTGTCTGTCTGTCTGTCTGTCTGTCTGTCTGTCTGTCTGTCTGTCTGTCTGTCTGTCTGTCTGTCTGTCTGTCTGTCTGTCTGTCTGTCTGTCTGCCTTGTCTGTCTGTCTTGTCCGTCTGTCTGTCTGTCTGTCTGAGAGATAGTATAAGATAACTCGAGACAATTCTTGTAAGACTTTTAGACCAGTTACGGGAGGGCGTCAGCACATGAGCTGCTGGCGGAGCTCGCACTGTGTAGAGGGACTCTTGATGATGCTGATGATGATGATGACGATGATGCTGCTGCTGATGATGATGTTAATGATGATGATGACGTCAGCGAGACAGTTTCAATCTTACCGTATTGTTGACGAGTTGGGTGATAGTCCCCAGGGACATCCTGTTGGCAGGTTCATGTGGGTAAGGCTGCGGATCCACCTGAAAGACCAGCTGAAAAACACAAAAGGCGAATCACGTAGAGAAACCAGCCATTGGTTTTATTTGATGCATTTGTTTGTTTATGTACATTCGGGGACCCAGCATTTCTTTCTTTCTTTCTTTCTTTCTTTCTTTCTTTCTTTCTTTCTTTCTTTCTTTCTTTCTTTCTTTCTTTCTTTCTTTCTTTCTTTCTTTCTTTCTTTCTTTCTTTCTTTCTTTCTTTCTTTCTTTCTTTCTTTCTTTCTTTCTTTCTTTCTTTCTTTCTTTCTTTCTTTCTTTGTAATTCTTTCTGCGTTTCTTTCTTTCTTTTTGTCTTTCTTTCTTTTCTTGTCTTTCTTTTAATTCATTCTACGTTTCTTTTGTCTTTTCTCCTTTCTTTCTTTCTTTCTTTCTTTCTTTCTTTCTTTCTTTCTTTCTTTCTTTCTTTCTTTCTTTCTTTCTTTCTTTCTTTCTTTCTTTCTTTCTTTCTTTCTTTCTTTCTTTCTTTCTTTCTTTCTTTCTTTCTTTCTTTTTCTTTCTTTCTTTCTTTCTTTCTTTCTTTCTTTCTTTCTTTCTTTCTTTCTTTCTTTCTTTCTTTCTTTCTTTCTTTCTTTCTTTCTTTCTTTCTTTCTTTCTTTCTTTCTTTCTTTCTTTTCTGTTTGTTCTGTGTTTCTTTATTTCTGTCTTTCATTGTCATCGCTCTTTGCCGTCTACACGACCACCATCTGCTCCTGTTCATCATCTTCTCCCCCTTCTCATTATCCTCCTCATTATCTTCTGCTGCTGCTGTTGCTTCTTCTCATTCTTTATTTCTTTACTCAATAAAACGCTACTTTGAGTTTGTATCGCTACTTCTACACACCAAATATATCAGTGTACGATTTAAACTGCCAGTACACCACCACCACCAAAAATAACAACAAAAACAATAACAACAACAACAACGACAATGACGAAGTACCACAACAGCAATCAGTCTATAGTTCCTAAGCGTGCTTACATTAGCTAACTCATTCTCCATGTCGATGGCGTCGTCAGCAAACTGAGAGATTCTGGTTTCGTTGGCCGTTATGTTTGCGTCCCTGCACAGCATCCTTGCAACTTGTTTCATGTATCCGGTATAAGCGGCATGAATCTGAAAGGGTTGAAAAACAGTCTTGTACTGCCCTTTAACTCTCCCACTCTTTCAGCAGCAGAAGAACAGAGCTGGTGTCCGATAAAGGCAACAATGAAAACAGCAAACTTCGTTCATGAGGGCCAAATACATATCTTTTGTACGATCCGAATATATTGTTAGGGCTCTTTATCTCTCACAAATCACGACATACAGAACATAGTGCCGTAGACACAGAAGTAAGGGAACTGATAGATCAGCAATCAGACCCAGAAGATATCATCAGATACATAGATTGATACGTGAAGCACGGATCAAGATCAGCATGAGCATACATAGCCCAAAGAAGGGGAAAAACACTACATGAGGACAGCAGCGTTACCAGACAACCACGTCAAGCATGACCATGGAAATAGCCGCTGCTTCTAGAGCTTTAGCATGGGTATCCGAGCAAACCGCCACACAGGCAGTATTTGTATCAGACTCCATGAACATGCTTCAGAAGATATCAACATGCGGTATACGCTCTGAATGAGTAGACAGCTTTTGAAAATCACACTTAACCTCCCTTACCTGGCTCTACACACCGGGTCATGCGGGCGTAAAGGGAATTGAGCGAGCGGACCAAATGGCAAGCAATGCACTAAGGATTGCGGGAAAAAGCATGGACAGAGCAGATATTTTCAACACTGTACGGACTGGGCTATTTGATAATGAGGAATCACTGACACTAACACGATTGCGTGACATAGGAGTCAAGCACGGTGAAGCACGTATAAACCGTCTTCGAGGTCGATATAGGAGACAATATTACCACCTTCTCATGGGAAAAATTAGTAGAAGTACTTTTGAGGACTGAGCACGCATTGGAATGCCCAATGTACAGTGACGTCAATTGTGATAACATAACATAGCATAACATTAATAACATATAACACTCCACCTGACCATGTTCGCCGTATAATGTTCCACCACATTGGCAACAATGAATCACTTTAAAATTTAGTGAAAAGGCGAAAAATGCAATGTTAGGGATATGTAATAAGATCTAACGGCCTAGGAAAAAACAACATACTACATGGCTCAATAGAGGGGTAGTGAATAAGAAACGTGCATACAGAGCTTGATACCTGGGCTGGCCTTATGCATGCAACCGTGAAGTCCGACGCAACTGACCGTCAGAGGTTGAGGGAGCTGGTCACACAGTCAACAGCAGCCGGTGATCCAGCGACAAGCAGTGTAAAGGAATGATGATAGTACAGCACTTGAATAATATTAGAGTACCAATGATGTGTTCTTTGGGGCCGAAAGAGTCCCTATGAGTTGACAGTTTGAACTTATAACCTGAATCTGCAACATAGTGAAGCATTTTTTTGTTATTTTAAAGCCTCGACTACTACTGCTTCTACAATATAACTGTGTTTGTTACAGAAGACAATTTTCTTGCAATGTTTTCTTTGTCTAAATTTAAATTAAATTGTTTTCCCTCTAAAATCAAATTAAAAATTTTTTTTATAGTAAATTATATGCTGTATTGTATGTCTGAGAGCGAATTTAAACTGTGCATTATTGTCTTTCGAATAAAATAAAAAAGATTTCTTCATGGGAAATAATAATAATAATTAAAAAAAAAGACCAAAAACAAGACGAACAAGAACAACATCAACCGAGGGTGGGATAGGGGGTGGTGGGGGAGGGAAGGGGGGGGGGGGGTTTAGAATTTAAAAAAGAAAGAATAAGAGCCGAAGATGATCCAGAAACAGAACAAACACACAAATATATGGGGATATTTCCATGTCTAGAGATCAGCAAGAATGAGTGCAATTAGAACAAAAATTGGACCAGACAAACAAACTGCACACAAACAAAGAAAAGCTAACTTAAAAAAAAATTATAATAAGAAGAAGAACGACGAGAAAAAAGGGGGGGGGGGGAGTATATAGATAGATAGATAGATAGATAGATAGATAGATAGATAGATAGATAGATAGATAGATAGATAGATAGATAGATAGATAGATAGATAGATAGATAGATAGATAGATAGATAGATAGATAGATAGATAGATAGATAGATAGATAGATAGATAGATAGATAGATAGATAGATAGATAGATAGATAGATAGATATATAGATAGATAGATAGATAGATAGATAGATAGATAGATAGATAGATAGATAGATAGATAGATAGATAGATAGATAGATAGATAGATAGATAGATAGATAGATAGATAGATAGATAGATAGATAGATAGATAGATAGATAGATAGATAGATAGATAGATAGATAGATAGATAGATAGATAGATAGATTAGATAGATAGATAGATAGATAGATAGATAGATAGATAGATAGATAGATAGATAGATAGATAGATAGATAGATAGATAGATAGATAGATAGATAGATAGATAGATAGATAGATAGAGAGAGAGAGAGAGAGAGAGAGAGAGAGAGAGAGAGAGAGAGAGAGAGAGAGAGAGAGAGAGATAAAACGAGGAAGCACTGTCCCTCACTAAACCTCTGTGTATGCATCCATTCTTTCATCACTAAGAGATGCCTTATCGAACACATACATTTGTTCACAGAAATGTCGTTGGTCCATCCCAAATGATGACCACTCTTTCTTTGATCATTCATGAAACTATAATTGAGTTCTGAGAGTCCAGACGGGACTTATTAGCCCAAGTACGGGTCCGGAAAGATCTAGGACAATGAGGACAGGAAACAGTCACTGGAGGTAAAGAGGCCTGTTGTAGGGGTCTTTCTAGCTGCCCGCGCTGTTCAGCTGCCCTTCTTCTTGAAGCCTCACAGGTCGCTGCCCCTCATTCGAAGAGACATTCATCATGTAGTCCGGGTTTTTGTGCGGCAACCTTTCAAGTGTCAGGGTCAAAAGCAAAGGCTTTAAGGGAGATTAAAAAATCATATTGACTCCTAGGTCGACCCAGCCTTGAATGGGTACCGGGTGCAGTCCCGGAAAGTAAAGGCAGCCGGCGTGATGCTGACCACATCACATATGTTGTGCCGATTGGTCTATAAAAAATATAGGTCAAGACTTATAAGCCTAGAGGCGTGAAAAGGGGACCTTCACATCTCACCCCCCCCCCCCCTTCCCCATGATTAGACGCGTTTTTTTTTTTTTTTTTGCCAGCATGAGATAGTGACACTACACACACACACGCGCGCGCACGCATACATACATACATACACACACACACACACACACACACACACCACACATATGAGACAACCACGTGACTTACACTATTGCCAGGGACGACATATATGTACTCCATAAAGTTGAGTCCAAGCCCGCCGAAATCAATCTGCAGGAAAGACAAGAAAGATGTTTGCAGTCAGTAAACTAACAAGCATGTCGAAGGAGGCTTCTAACTAGGGTTGGAAGTCGGTGTGTGTCTGCTCGAGAGGTCAAAAAACAAGATTCTGCATTCAAATAACCCAGATCTGTAAAACGAATGTGCACGCAAAACGCAGGTTCTGGAACAAGATTAATGTGCATAAATTGACGAACAACCAGAACTTTCCCCTTGAGTATGTATCAGGATCAGATGAACGTTAAAACAAGAAAAAGAAGATAATTCGCTAGAGCCTCAGTTAGCAACGTCTGTCTGCACACGATCCGCTATTACCCCTATTACACAGCTTATGAGTTGAGTGCATGGCGTGACACTGTGAGCTACGTGTGTTTTTCGTTGGCACAGGAGCGGAGCAGCTATGGAGTGACCCGTTTGCTATGAAGCTGAAACTAGGATTACCAGATAACCAGATTACCAGATTACCCCTATTAACCTTCACACACACCTTAACTAGTGACATCTCACAAACTTCCTTCTACTGACTTTATCCCGTTAGGCATCGCAGATCAACAGCTGATCGGAAGTCCAGCAAGAGCGCGCTCGGTTGCTGGATGTTTTGTGTGTGTCCCTGACAGGGTGGGGATAAGAGGGGGTGGGGGGGGGGGAGGAGGGGGAGAGGACCCAATCATCTTAGCTTAGAAAATGCTTAGCACGGACTCCAACAATGTCAACTGTGTGCTACTAACAGAGAAGCAATTTGGCGCAGTGAAACAAAGCTGTATGGTACATAGTGAAATCTAGACTGCACGATAGCTTCATAGAGACAGTCGGCCTCCTGATATTTTTAAAAGGAGTATTGGAGATGTAGACCGAGGATTCAAACAAGGATTTCCCGAAAGAAATACCAGCATGATATTCTGCTGTCTTGGGTTGTCAATGACTCTGCCGCTACTTATTCTTCTGTCACACTCCTATTGTTGCTCGGCTCTCTAGCGTTACTGGCTAAACCGGATTGCGCGGTGACCGGGTGACGAACTCCTTGTGGTTCGGGTTCACTCCCGGGGGTAAGCAAAAGAGCCACATTTCTCCCATATTTACGGTATTTACAATGGAATCAAGGCCGAAAGGTTGCGATATCCATAATACTGAGCCTAAGGGTGAACAACTCATGGCTTCTGGATACTAAAACAAAACAAACACTCTTATTTTTTTTAATAATACGTGTTATCAGGTGTTTGAATGAAATAGATTATGAAAAGAGGAGCTTTGATTGACAGAATATTAGCGCGCCTGGGAGCCCAGCTCTTAACCTGGTCGAAAAAAAGTTTGTTTAAAAGTTCGTTCTTCCGTTCCCTCTACCTCTTGATGTTTTTCATGTTCAATTTTTACCCTCCAACTACCAGCATCTTTATGTGCATTCACAATAAAAGTTAAAAAAAAAAAAATAGTAAAGATCCCTTTTCACGCCTTTAGGCGTATCAGGCATATGGAAAGAGCGCCCATAGTTTTACAGACCATCAGCACGCGGTGGGTAATGTAGTCAGCCTTACGCCGGCCGTCTTTACTTCCCTAGGACAGCCATCCTGGTACCCATTTTAGTATTCGCAATAGATGGTAGATTATTTCGATGTTTGTTACTCAATAATTTTGACGATAGTTCTTTTTTTGACAGTTCTTGTTAATAAATGTAAATCGCTGTATGATAAGTTGGTCGCGCATACACTGGGCAAAACGTTGCAGAACTCGTCATAGCATTTATTGGCTGTTGGTGATTTTACATGGTAATGTTACTTTCAGTTGTATGCTAACGCTTTCTCACATGGCTGGCTCTTGATACTATTGTGGGAATCAACGGAAAGCGATCTGCTGCCAGATTTCCCGCAGCTTGTATCGAGCCTGGTACCTGGATGCTGCAAACCGCATTCTTAACGCATAAGCCACAGACTTCAACCGGTGTAAAAAAACAGTTGAAACACACACACACACACAAACACACACACACAAACACACACACACAAACACACACACACAGACACACACACACACAAACACACACACACACACACACACACACAGACACACACACACACACACACACACAGACAGACACACACACACACACAGTAAGATAAAAGACCCTTTTACAAGCATTCAGGCATAATGGGCATATCGGGCTAGACCTATATTTTATACACCAGTCGGCACTAGGTGGTTGATGGGGTCAACATTACGCCAGCCGCCTTTACTTCCCAGCAACACACCTGGTACCCAGTTAAAGCTACGTCGAGCTGGCAGCCAAGCTCATTAAAATAAAAGGCCGTCAGGACTTGAACTTACAACCTTCGTATCCACAGGCGAGCATCTAGCCGCCACACCGTGCTTCGTTCCCCCCCCCCCCCCCCCACACACACGAACACACACACACACGTGCGAGCACACACACACCCGTGTGTGCGCGCGCACACACACACACACACACACACACACAAAATATGTTCAAAACAAACGTCAGATACGGTACCTCTAGAACTTTCTTGGTCCAGTCGGTGGTGTCTGTGGAAAGTCTAAGGGCGTACAAGGCGGGCGTCCAGAAGGTGACATGGACAATCTTCAGCTGTTTGTGCAGGTCAAAGGTGGAGGCGTCCCAGTTGTCTTCTAGAACGTACCAGCCTCCAAACGGTTTGATGACCTGGTTCAGCATGGGCTGACCTCGGACCTGCATCTGTGGCGGGAACAGGAGAATGGCTTTCGGTGAGGGATGAGTTTTAGTAGAGAATCAGTGGCAGTGGAGGATGAGTTTTAGTGGAGAATCAGTGGCAGTGGAGGATGAGTTTTAGTGGAGAATCAGTGGCAGTGGAGGATGAGTTTTAGTGGAGAATCAGTGGCAGTGGAGGATGAGTTTTAGTGGAGAATCAGTGGCAGTGGAGGATGAGTTTTAGTGGAGAATCAGTGACAGTGGATGATGAGTTTTAGTGGAGAATCAGTGGCAGTGGAGGATGAGTTTTAGTGGAGAATCAGTGACAGTGGATGATGAGTTTTAGTGGAGAATCAGTGACAGTGGATGATGAGTTTTAGTGGAGAATCAGTGGCAGTGGAGGATGAGTTTTAGTGGAGAATCAGTGGCAGTGGAGGATGAGTTTTAGTGGAGAATCAGTGACAGTGGATGATGAGTTTTAGTGGAGAATCAGTGGCAGTGGATGATGAGTTTTAGTGGAGAATCAGTGACAGTGGATGATGAGTTTTAGTGGAGAATCAGTGGCAGTGGAGGATGAGTTTTAGTGGAGAATCAGTGGCAGTGGAGGATGAGTTTTAGTGGAGAATCAGTGACAGTGGATGATGAGTTTAAGTGGAGAATCAGTGGCAGTGGAGGATGAGTTTTAGTGGAGAATCAGTGGCAGTGGATGATGAGTTTTAGTGGAGAATCAGTGACAGTGGATGATGATTTTTAGTGGAGAATGAGTTTTAGTGGAGAATCAGTGACAGTGGAGGATCAGTTTTAGCGGAGGATGAGTTTAAGTGGAGAATCAGTGACAGTGGAGGATCAGTTTTAGCGGAGGATGAGTTAAGTGGAGAATCAGTGACAGTGGAGGATCAGTTTTAGTAGAGGATGAGTTTAAGTGGAGAATCAGTGACAGTGGAGGATCAATTTTAGTGGAGGATGAGTTTTAGTGGAGAATCAGTGACAGTGGAGAATCAGTGACAGTGGAGGATCAGTGACAGTGGAGGATGAGTTTTAGTGGAGAATCAGTGACAGTGGAGAATCAGTGACAGTGGAGGATCAGTTTTAGTGGAGGATGAGTTTTAGTGGAGAATCAGTGACAGTGGAGAATCAGTTTTAGTGGAGAATCAGTGACAGTGGAGGATCAGTTTTAGTGGAGGATCAGTTTTAGTAGAGGATGAGTTTACTATACATCATATATTTGTAAAAGAATGGTTAATGTACTTGGGTCATCACATGTTGCTCATTTATGGGTAGAAATGTGTATGTGCATGCATGTTAATGAGCGTTATATAAAAAAACAGGCACATAAACACACACATAAACAAACGCCTGCACACAGTTGTCTTAGAAACGTGCGCATGTCTTTGGAATCTAACAACAGAACATGCAGAAAGTTTACATTAGCACTAGCAATAATGTCTCTATACCACCACCTCAACGAAATCACTGATCAGGTTTCAAGCTGACTTTTCCCTGTGTGGGGAACCAGGCCCCATTTTGGGGGAAGAAGAGTAGACTCCTCCACCACCCCTCCCACCCCACAAGCATGTCATAAGGACGACTAATTATTGGCGTTTCTTTGAAGTCCGAATGCATCTGTCATAAAAGCAAGGAATTAGGAGTGGGCACACAAGTAAGCCACATTTGTAAAACGGATGTGCACGCAAGTTCTGGACTAAAGTTCCGAAGCGGAGAAACGATCAGAATTTGCTGCTGCAGTTTACAGTTGGTAGAAGCTAAGAAGAAAAAGATGTAATCCGCCCCCCCCCCCCCACCAACCCCTTCCCCACAAATTTAACTTGTAAAATTCTCTCTCATATCTGCAACTATTGCATGACATGATATTCAACGTTGTTGTTACATTATGTTAGGAACTTTTTTCGATTTTCCATAGTTTGAAGAGAAGAAGAAGGCCGTATATGTACTCTAACCTGGAAAATTTCCCAAATTCTTCATTTAAAACTGTAAAATCGAATAGTATTATAGCATTTGATCTAAAAACAATACTGTAGGGGTCAGTAGAGGAAAAGAAGAGAAAAGGCAGACCAAGAAAAACCCGGTTACAGAACTTGGCTGACTGGACAAGCCTCAGGCATGAAATCACGAAGTCCATCGCAAATGACCGCCAAAGGTGGAGAGAGATGATCAAACAGTCAACAGAAAGTGATGAACCAGCAAAAATAGTGGTACGGGATGATGATGATGATGATTCGAGCTTATAGACATGTGTATGGGTTGTGGTACCTTATCAAAATGATTGCTGCATGATTTCAAGAAGTGTCTCAGCTTCCTCTCGTAAGACTGCTCTTCATTCCTCTCCGGCTGGTAGCTGAGAAGGTAAAGCAGCTTCTGTGTGTTTTCTAGTTCAATCTGGTTGAAAGGAGTCGGCTCCGGCTGTGGAGGAAAACAAATCAGAGATACGCCAATGTTACCATTTACTTGAGTCAAACATCCAGGAGAACTGGCTCATAAACAGCATATTTGTGGCCATAGCAAACGTCATGGTGGCTTGGAAATGACGGTGTTGGAGGGTGTGTTTGTGGAAGGCGAGGCAGGGGTCGACCACCGTGAAGATGGACACAGGACATTGAAGATGCATTGGAAATAAAAGTATTTAAGGCTGGAGAGCTGGCTAGGGAAAGGGATACTTTCAGATGTGCCGTGAGGAGAGCCAAGTATCTGTAAAACATTTGGTTATTGATGATGATGCTCATTTCCTCCTGTGGGGGTTCCTGGCTCTATTGTGGGGGGGGGGGGGGGTGGGGGCGGAAGAGAGAATATACCCATTGCGCCCTAACGAGCATGTCGTAAGAATCGACTAACTAGGGATGTGTTCTTGGAAGTCGGAGTGAATCTGTCTGAGAGGCGAGGAAACAACAATGCATACAATAAACTAAATCTGTTAGATAGATGAACAAGCAAACATCGAGTTCTTGAACAAAGACTAAAGTCACAAGTGGATGAACAACCATAACTTCCCTCTCTAGTTTACAGCCGGTGAAGGCGAAGAAGATATAATTGACGAAGTCACTATGTGTACAGAGACAATCAAAGATAATCTCAATCACATATATTGTTCGTAGACCGGCGGGCGATAACTGCAGCAATCAGCCTCAAGTGAGCATGTATGTTCCCTGTAGCAACATACGGATTTGAGTCATGGACTATCTCGCAGTTCTTGAGGAAGAAAAAAGGGCTTTTGAGTTGAAATGCAACAGGAAGGTTATTAAAACACTGTAGACAAAGGAGAACTGAAATACTCTCACGATTAAAGATCGGAACATCAAATTAGAGCGAAAAGTAATGAGCATCTTGTCTCGTAATGTGAAATATGTTGGTCATAGCATGCACCACAGGGGGTTAGATAAAACAGAAGCAGAAAGCACGGTACAAACAAGAAGGGGCAGAGTTCGACCAGCACGAAGATGGGCATAGAATATAAGTGACATTTTGAGTTGGAAAGTGCACGAGGTGGGAGAGCTGGCGAGAGACCGAGTTTCATTCAGACAGAAAGCGCTGAGAGCTACTTTCTGCAAGGAACTTGCTATACGAAGATAAGTTTGCCACTGGTTTTAGAAAAGTACTATGCACAAAACGGTTGTCAGACTCAACGTATAGCGGTCTGCTTCTAAACCACCTAGAGATAAATCCACAACAGTGAATCAGGATTAGGAAACTAAGTTGAAAACAACTATGCCACTGCACCAAAAAGAAGATGTAAGGCGGTAGGTTACAGCCAGCCAAGTGAGATCAAACAATCCACCCACTTTAGTTTCTTCGTAGCCGTTTTGTTATGCTCCGTCGGGAGCCAACATCACACCCTAACCTGCACACTCCGTAGCGAATGCGGCCGTAAATTCTCAGGCTCAAAGGTTCCCTTACCCCAAACGACATGAGCGAAAATTACTGACAGTAATCTACTGATAAATCAACCGTTCGGTGTGGTACCGCCTCCTCATTGAAGGCTGTCTGTTGTGAGTCATAGAATAAAATGTCCTGGGACTCACCACAGAATGAGCCACAGTGATCTAACGTCTAGACGCTCGGCTGTGGATCTCAAGGTCTTGGATTCGGTTCCTGACAAGGGCAGGACTTTTTTCAAAAGTGACCTTGGCTTCCAGGTCGAGACAGCCTTGAGTGGGTTCCAGGGGTAGAGTTCTGGGAAGTAAGGCGGCCAGCCCAATGCTGACAACATCACCCACCAAGTGCCGTTTTGTCTATAAAATATACGTCTAGCCCTTTATGCTCAATACACATAAAAGGCGAGGAAAATGGTCCTTTACTCTTTTACTTACCACAAAGTGTCTAAAACAGATGCCTCAAATTGTCATCTTAAGTTGAAAAAAAGATGTCTTAAAAAGTTACCAGAACGGCGTACTGATGCTTGTCAACAAAGGAACAACCCTGCTACAATCGTCGTCACCATTTTTCTCTACGGTTATACATGACAACAGACTGGCAGTGATTGTTCCATTACATTATACTTTGTATCTTATAACATCAGTAATCAGCAAGTCCTTCACAGAATGTCACTCTCTCCACGTACAGCTAAAAGTCTCTCTTTCTCTAGACAGTTCTTAAGCAAATTATCCAACCAGCTCTGTGTGCTTTCACAGCCAATACGTCTTCTCTCCAGACCATCATGACGCTTGACAGTCCACAATACCCCAGCTTTCAGGAGAGTATGCTGTTAACGAGCCAGTTCTCCTTGATGTTCAGGTCATGCAGGATGTCGACGTGTTTCTTCTTCTTGGTCCAGGGTGTTCTAAGAATGTTTCTGCAGCATTTCAGTTCAAACGCTCAGATTTTCTTTTTCAGAGACTGAGTGAGAGTCCATGACTCACATCCACAAGTTGCCATGGGAACGATGCATGTCTCAAACATGTTATCTAACACAGAAAGGACATAAAATACCTACCACAAGAGGGTTCGGAGTGTAAATACTAGCATAGCCCCCGCAGGCAAACTGGTAGAAGTTGGTGCAGGGATTCGCAGTTTCGTCCATGATGTACTTTTCATAGGAGGCAGTTTTCAAACAGATTGGTGAGATGCAGGTGTTCTGGTCTGTAAACATGTTTAGGACATTGCATCTTAGTGACAATGCACGACAATATCTGACTTTTGGCTATGTGAAGATAGCACAGACAATTGTATTGGTCATGTTGTCTTATTCACCCTACACGGAAATACCACTTGTGAAGATAAACTTGCGACTATTAAAACTACACTGGACAACATCATAGATATTTATTGAAACTTACCAGTGTAAATTCATGGACTCGATAGTGGAGTGTGGGTGTGGTTGCTGGGGAAGAGGGGGAGGGGTGGAGTCAAGGTTACCGGCATTTCCCCTTAAGATGCTTGCTGTAACAAGCGACACATTGAAACCGGAAATGCTGGACCAGAGGGACAGATTTACCAACCTAGCTGTAAACTACAACACACAGTGCCAATCATTCATTAAATAAAGGAGAGCAGGGGTTGTTTTACTACCTCATTTGCAGTAGCCTAAACTGTGAAAAGGCTAAACCTTTCAAAACCCAGAGACATTATTTGCTGTCATCCTGAGTTGAATGCATGGTGTGACACTGTGAGCTGCGGATTTCATTTGGAATTTTTTCTCGACTGTGATCAACGTGGTGGTGTGAATTATAGATTCAGAAAATGGCGCGATTTATGTCGTCGCAATGTTGGTGGTGCCCGTATGTGATTAAAATTGATCGCGTTGGTAACTGCTGATCTGTTGGTGACTTCTGCTACCATCAGTGATGAACTGCATTTCTAATGCCGGACTGTGTTAGCACTTCGGATGGCTACCGTATGCTTTAATGCGAGTGTATGCTAGATATGCTGAAACAATAGTCTGTGAGTCTTTCCACAAGAGACTATGATAAACATTCTGTGTGTTTTTAGTTGGCACAGGAGCGGAACAAAGATGGGTGACCCGTTTGCTATGACGCTGAAACTAAGACTACCAGACTACCATACCTGCTACAGGGCTACCTTTATCTAGCTATCTGTGGTCGAAACCCACTTGTTTCTTCTTCTTACAGTCCACGCGATCTACCATTGATAACTGAGCCTTTCCACAGCATTATCTCCCGTCTCCCGTCAATGATTTCTCACGCAGATGTTCTCCCATGACAAGCGATTGAAGCCATTCTTTTTTGGAAGACACTGTTGTCGTTTCGCAGTTCGTTTTGAGATGTGAGCTTTTGAGCTTTCAATTGTTGTACTGAATTTATAGCTTTTAATTGTTATACTGAATTGATAGCTTTCAATTGTTATACTGAATTTATAGCTTCTAATTACAAACAAATGAATTCAAGAGGGGTGGTCAAATAGGAACAATGTTTGGGCAACCACTGGTAACAACAACTGTTAGGCAAGGCAGGTGGCGATGTATACATCCTGAGAATAAACGAACAGAGAATCACAAAGAGGCACTAAAATAGAAATAACATAACTGAGGAGGCGAGGACGTCCAAAAGAAACAGTAAACGAACATTGAGGGGAGAGGCCAAGGTGCCGGATTGCATTTCATAAATTATTTCCAAGAGATTGCACAGGATAGAGCGGAATCGAACCATAGACTGTGAGCCCTATGTGACATGCAATGGAACAACAAGACATTGATGAATTACAAAAACAAAATAGTAGGGAAGATACTGCAAAGTTTGAACACGTACATACATGATAATTTTTCGAACACGCACATACATGATAATTTTTCAATAACAGTAGATTAAAAAAAAAATTACATAATTTTGAAGAACAAAAAATGTAAAAAAAACAAAAAAACGATTGTTATCATTCTCAGGTGATGTGCTGGGGGTGGGGGGGGGGGGGGGGGGGGGGGGGGGGGGGTAGGAAAGAAGGCGGATATGAAACGACATCCAGAAGGTTAAAGTATAGGACTCTTTCACGCCTTGAGGTTTACTAGGCATGGAATTAGAGCTCCATCTTGTTTTACACCGATCGGCAGCCCATTGACGTGGCCAGTATCACAAGTGTAGCTTCTTTATTCTACTAAATTCTCCCGCCCACATTTTATGTTTATATTTATTCAACGGATCTACATCATAGCACACTACTTCTAACTCAAGCATAAGTCTGAAGAATCTCAGTGCAGTGCATGAACTCCGTCGCACCGGCGAAGATCCTAAAATACTTTAGGTATATTTTTAACTCAGAATTTTCCCGTGCAGCGCTGTTAGGCTACTATTTTCTGACTTACAACTGCCAAGGAATTGTTTACGTGAACAACCATACACACGGGCGTCCGGTCTTACCACCCAGATGACCAGGGGAAATTACTAGAAGTCCACGTGACAAAAATCCTAGCCTTTACTGGGGTTTAAACAAGGGACCTCAAGCACTCGAGGCGGATGCCATACCTCGAGACCACTCAGCCCCCCCCCCCCCTTTTTTTTTTACAGATTTTTTGATAGATCCAATGAAACGCCGGGAGATTTTGAAAATCTGCCTGGATGCTGCTTCAACGCTGAGATTAACAGGGCATTTAGATGGTGTTTCAAATACAAGCCTATCAGAGATCACTTTAGTGGTGACTGAATAAAATATCCCCAGACCACATCAATCGTGATTCGAATATAAGACAGACCACTTGACCACATCGGTGGTGACTGCAAAAAAGATCACTAGACCACATCAATCGTAATTCGAATATAATGCCACCATATCACATAAACTGTCTCGCAACACCAAGATAAAAATATATAAAACGTTGATTAGACCAATCGCTTTATATGGCTCTGAAACTTGGAGCACAACTAAAAGACATGAAGCCCTATTACAGGTTTTCGAAAAAAGAGTATTGAAACGAATTTTTTGACCCATCAAAGATGCAAACAGCGGTGAATGGAGAGTGAGAAGCAACAATGAAATTCATAATCTGTTTAAATCACCACTGATCTCTGATCATGATATATACCAGGAAGATGAATGGTAGTAGACCACGAGGCAGATCAAGAAGACCATGGATAGATAATATTCAGATAGACCTGTAAACACTTGGTGTCACCAACTGAAAAGAGAGGGCCAACCAAAGAGATGAATGGAGGTGGGTGATATCTGCAGCAATGAACCTCAAGGGCTCGGAATGCCGAAGAAGGCCAACCAAAGAGATGAATGGAGGCGGGTGATATCTGCAGCAATGAACATCAAGGGCTAGGAATGCTGAAGATAAAAAAGCAGACCACATCAATGATGACTAAATTAAATTGTACTTGGCGCCCTGAAGATTTGGAGTTCGTTCTCATCATCTGTTACTTAAGCGTTGCGAACGCACTTCGTAATGCTTGAGTGCCGGGTTCAATCCCAGCTACGGCTCTTGCTCCTTGCGTTGGTTTCGATAGTGGTTTCGATAGTGGTTTCGATAGTGGTTTCGATAGTGGTTTCGATAGTGGTTTCGATAGTGGTTTCGATAGTGGTTTCGATAGTGGTTTCGATAGTGGTTTCGATAGTGGTTTCGATAGTGGTTTCGATAGTGGTTTCGATAGTGGTTTCGATAGTGGTTTCGATAGTGGTTTCGATAGTGGTTTCGATAGTGGTTTCGATAGTGGTTTCGATAGTGGTTTCGATAGTGGTTTCGATAGTGGTTTCGATAGTGGTTTCGATAGTGGTTTCGATAGTGGTTTCGATAGTGGTTTCGATAGTGGTTTCGATAGTGGTTTCGATAGTGGTTTCGAGAAGCCGACTGTCCAGAAACCATTGGCAAACCACTAGACGTAAAATTTGCTTAGAAAAACCACAACAGCCAACAAATTATGGAGTTGGTTCTGCGACGTCCTGTAAAGGACACACAACTAATTCACTCCCGGCGACAGAGGCGGACAAACGGTCGCTTTCCTATGAAAGAAACAAGTTTATGGCATAAAATTATACGCAACAAAGTTGAACCTTTTGCCCTGAAACCACACCTTTATATGCAAAATAAAATCAAAATAGCAAATTTAGTTTCATGTCCAAACTAACCCCAGCATTAGTGGACTACTTTTAATTCCACCAGGCAGATTTTCATTGCTTCTGCACAAAAATCGGCGCCCATACCATTTTCTACATCAATATCCCTTCGCTTGTTGGCACATCGCCTACAGCTGAATCAGACCTGGGATGTTGGAAATACAGAACTATGCCAGTGACCCCTTAGTCACAGATACCAACTGCCCAAGGAGTCAGGAGGTCAACGACGACAGTGTCAGATTATTTGATGTGTTTGATTCGTTATATTACCAACCACATTCTGTCCAGTATATTCCAGCCGGTCAGTTAATTGGTTAGTTGGTTGGTTAGTTGGTTAGTTAGTAAGCTAGTCTATTAGTTAATTAGCCAGTTAAATAATAACCGCTCATTCTCATCCCACATCGGACAAGTAAAGATTGATAAAGATCATGTGTAAGTCCATAATTTTGAAAAAAAAAAAAAAGAAACTAATGGTTAGCCATAACAATCTTTAGTATCAGGTGATGCGGGTATTCAGGAGAACCAGCGTGCAGACTGTTCCCTTGCAGTTACTTCGACCGATGGGACAATATACGGAGCGATGTCATCAGTGCTATGTGTCATCAGTGCTATGTGTCATCAGTGCTATGTGTCATCAGTGCTATGTGTTATCAGTGATATGTGTCATCAGTGCTATGTGTCATCAGTGCTATGTGTCATCAGTGCTATGAGTCATCAGTGCTATGAGTCATCAGTGCTATGTGTCATCAGTGCTATGTGTTATCATTGATATGTGTCATCAGTGCTTTGTGTCGTCAGTGCTATGTGTCATCAGTGCTATGTGTCGTCAGTGCTATGTGTCATCAGTGCTATGTGTCATCAGTGCTATGTGTCATCAGTGCTATGTGTCATCAGTGCTATGTGTCATCAGTGCTATGTGTCATCAGTGCTATGTGTCATCAGTGCTATGCTACATAAAAATCCTAAAGACGATTATGGAGTTTAGCATAACTCAATATCCTCTGTCCAAGTTGGTGGATATAGGGACACAACCTGAAACTGCCAGAAATGAACACTTAATTAGGGCGTCCAAATCACGGAGCCTAACAGACAAAACTAAGGCAATTACAAATAAACTACAGACATTCATTAACTGGTGGCTGAGCAGAATTCAGAGAATTAAATGATGTGATAGAATCACTAATGTAGAGCTTTAGGGGAGAACTAAACAAGTTCCAATGGACCAAGAGGGGAAGAAACGACGCTGGCGTTTGTCAGGATACAGGTTGAGAAAACATGAGAACAATATAAAAAGGTCTTTGCACTGGAACCCACAGGGAGATAGAAATAACAGAAGACCTAAAAACACACGAAGAAGGGAGCTGGAGAGCGAGGTTAAAAATATGGGATAGACATGGTGAAATCAGCATGTGTTAGGGAAGAACGACTTGGCGTGAGTTGGTTGAGGGCCTATGCTCCATTCGGAATTAAAAATGCAGAAGACGAAGAAAACTCTATTGTCCAAGGTTAGGGAATATGGAGGTACCATCTGAAACTGCCAAATGTCAACATTTTATTAAGGGTGCAGACCGTTTCAGTAATCAACACCGAACGGTCAAGTTAAGTTGATTTACGCTTGTGGAATGATACTGCGGAAATGATCGGAGCACCAACGGATCTCTTCGGAGTGCTGCGATAATAAGTGATAACAATGAGAAAAATAAACAAGAGGTCACCCAAAGTAGCGATAACTGAATATACTCAAGTTGTCCCTGCATAACAAAACAAAAAATTGACATTTATAAAACAAGTCGATATTTTACCTGGAGGTCGTTTGCTGTTTTTCTTAGGCAGCGGAATTGTTACGCGAAAGTTACGTGACGGTGTAACGGTGTTAGTCTTATGCGGACGAGTTACAGGAATATTAGTTGTTCTGGTGTTAGTCTTTGGCGAATCTGTGACACGAATATTACCTGTAGGGTTGGGTGCAACTGTCACAGGAGGTGGGCAGCTTGTGGGACCCTTTGCAGGTTCTACAACGAAAAAAAAAAAGAGCAAGAATGGCGCCGATAATTAGGTTGTTAACAGCCTCCGTCAGTGTACACGATAAATTATAAAAAAGTATTAACCATAATAATGAACAGACGTTTGTTAAAAGTGGCTGAGGCTATATCAATAAAACTGTACTCTAACTTTGTGTAAACGTGATCAATTGGGAGTTACCATGGTAATCACGTGACTAATTCTGAATGTTCGACGGATAGATGTACAGCAACTCAACAATGTGATTCATGCATTTCAGCAAGAACAGAATTCATTTTGTGCTTCATTAAATATTGTTTAACTCTTTAGTAATGCACATAACAAGATACAGCGAAATATGCCTGGCAATAAATTATGTTATGTATTGTGTGTGTCCGCATTATTTAAATTTACAACGGGAAAACATTGTTTAAAAAAAAAAATTAGGAAAAAAAAAAAAAAAGTAAAGATAACACGGAAAGCATATTTAAGCCAGGAAACTCACCGACATTCACATATCATGTCAGTAATACGCGAAAGTATAATGGGAGCTCGTGGACCGAAACATTTGTCGACGAGAGATTACTTCTACTGATGATTGGTTGACTCCTGTGTTACATGCTCCCCTGTGGAGTTTCTTCTTATTGCCACTTTGCGCTCATGTTTCTTTAGTAAAACTTGAAGATGTAGTTTTGTAACACTTGTGCTTACCTCTTGCGTATACATTACTTAACGATCGGGTGTTGTTACCTGAACATCATTAAACATTTATGGTTAAGCGTCAGCAAAGACAGGGAAGAAAATAGTGGCTTTTCAGCTGAAATGCTACAGAAAGATACTCAAAATAAAAAAAAAATTTTGAAAAAAAGGAAACATTCTGACATTTTAAAACATCTGAGCAGCAGGGAATATTAGCTTATAAACAGCATCTTGTCTCGGTGGGTGAAATATTTTGGTCATATCAAGCACTATGACGAACTGGAAAAAAGAAAATGATAGCAGAAGGCATAGTATTAGAAAGGAGAGGCAGGGGTGGACCAACACGAAGATGGGCACAGGATATAAGTGAATCCTTGAGAATAAAAGTACACGAGGCGGGGCAGCTCGTAAAAGACCAAGTTTCTTTCATACAGACCGTGATAAGAGCATCGTCCTGCAAAGGTCTTGCTTCATGATGATGATGATAGTGTTGTTACTATTTTGCTCATCTGTTTCTTCAGCCTTATATGAATGTGAAATTTTATTTGATGCTCATCTGTTACATCAATTTTACCTGCGAATTGTTTTGATGCCACATTTTAGCGCATTTGTTTCATCAGTGTGTCTAACGTGCTTCTTCTCCGACATGCAGTTCTAAACCTATCCGTAATCATTTTCTCCCTTTATCTGTTTCCATCCTGATTTCCACTTCCAAGGAACGCGGTCTAGGGCATCCGGTTCCCAAGAATCTATCTCTCTACCTGTACCATTCATATTTCCCTTGCAGACATGTTTATTTCGCAGTAGAAACATTATAGGGTACCTATTTTAAGCTGGGTCGACCTTGGAAGACAACGTCCTGTTTTTACAGAAACAAATCTGGCTCGGTCACGATCTGAACCTACGACGTTCGAATAGGAAGTCGAGAATGTTTAGCAGTTGCGCCACGGGAGCTCCCTCTGTCTGGTGTACTTTGAATCAATTCTGTCTACCATCTTGTCTCTTGCTTTGCCTCTGCCTCTTTCCCCCTGGAGTTTTCCCACCGTCAAGCTGCACTCCAGTTTTCCCTTTCTCGTGACTTGACCAAAGAATATAGATTGTCTCCTTCTGATTTGGGCAATCATTTTTTTCGTGAGTCAAATTCTTCCAAGACATCGCCATTGCTCTCTCTCTCTATCTGTCCAGCGTATTCTCATCATTCGTCTACAAAACCGCGTCTCCACGGCTTCCACATAATCGGCCAACTGTCCATGATTCTCTTACGTATTTCTGAACAGGATTTATTTAGCTCTTGAAAATTGCCTTTCTCACCTGAACTCTCAAGGAAAGAGTGCATAGAATAGTTATCAGTTTGTGAAATGCTGTCTTTGTTTAGGATATTCTACATGTAACGTCTTGTGTGCATCTTCCATCTGCCATCATGGTACACAGTCACTTCTTAGACATGTCACCTTGCTTGAGGATTGTGTTTACTTGGATGACGCCTTGTGGCAGGTCTATTTTTTTTTTTTTTTGGTAATTATTATTCCTCAGTTTTACTGCTGTAAATATTTTACACACACACACACACACACACACACACACACACACACACACACACACACATATATATATATATATATATATATATATATATATATATATATATATATATATGTCGACTCTGTGGCCAAGTTGATGCGAACGCTTCGTAACGGCGGGGTGTCGGGTTCGATCCCAGCTGTGGGCCATGCGCCTTGCGTTGGTTTCGACAGTGGTATCAAGAAAGCCGACCGTCCAGCAGCATTGGCAAACTACTGGACGTAAATTTGCCTAGAGAAACCACACACCAGCAGGGGCTGCTGGGGTTGGTTCTGCAACGTCCTGTAAACACAATGTTTTGACTTCTTTGACAATAAAGGTACGTGATACTTCTATTGACGGTGCCTGTGGCTTAGGTGTTGCCAGTGCCGATTGGTCTGTAAAAATATGGGCGCTCTTCCCATATGCCTGACGCCCCTAAGGCGCGAAAAGGTAACTTTACTGGGGTTTTTTTTAAATACTCCTATTTCATTAATTAATTAGGTCTGTATTACCTGCAGTGCCATTGTTGTCACCCCTTTGCTTTTCCGGTGAAGCGATGGCATTCGGACAGCTTGCAGAATTCTTGCTAGCTTCTACCGCCAGAACAATCGCAAGGATGATGGCGATAACCAGAGCTATGACGGCGATTCCTCCCAGAAGCAAATCTCGTTTTCTGGAATTAAAGGTATCATCCACTGTAAATGTGGTTAGCGATATAAATGTACTTTAAAACAGAAACTAGTACGCTGTTTTGTTAGAGATATCGACTGACCTGTTCCTACAACAATCAAGACAAGGAGTGACGTTCAACGCCACCAGCATCGATTAACACCCTGTGACAACAGAGTGCCACCACCATTCGGATGAGGATTTCCAAAGCGCATGTCCGAGAAACACCGTTGAGCCGTAAGGTTACGTTAGGGCTGCCGGTGATGGTTACAAAGTTATGTAAGTCCTGTCTGACAGACTGACTTTCTACCCCACCAGGACATCACACAAGCGATAAACACCTGATGACACAAAGTGCCACCATGTGGATGAGGATCGCTGTGGAAAGGTCCCAGAAACCACGTTCAGACAATTGGCCACATTTATGGCCTGCCTTTATTGCGGCCCCCGGCAAAAGCCAGGGTGGGGCTTCAAATAACAACAAATGTCGTCCTGAAAAGGACGACACACCTAGATGATGTAAGTCCTGCCGGGGTGGGGTCTTAATGTACACAAATAATTGTATCCCATTTGGGGGACATGCATCAAGAAATACAGTATGATATAAATTATTTAATGGAAGGGTCTATGATGTTGGGGATAGTGATGATTTGATAATTGACATCAAATGATGACGAAGAGAAGAAGGAATAATAATAATAATGATTATAATAATAATAACAATAATAATAAACTGGTTTTATAAGGGCAGTAGAATATTTTTTTTTTATCCATACCATCAAATTCAAGGGGCACTAATCTGACTTTCTTATTTCCGGTTCCTTGTTCAGTATTCTGAGCCGAGCCATATTGTAAAGTAGACATGGCATTCGAAATACTAATTTGTCAGTTGATTGTTTATCTCCCAGTCGAAATCTACGGCTTAGGTATTGTGAAAACGCTTCGTAATTCCAAAATACCCGGTTTGATTCTAGGCGAATTGACAGCTGGCCGCTTTGCATTGATTTCCACAATAGTATCGAGATCAGACTGTTTAGAATGCAATTGCGAACTAATGAATGTAACAATGCCAAGTAAAACCAAAACATTCCAGAAAAGGTGTTGAGCCTAGTAAAAGATATGCAGCTAACTCACTATTATCTCTATCGATCAGGACTATTCAACAAAGTTTACAAAGGAACCACAATCTTGGAAATGGGGATTGTCAGGGGCCAGACGCCTGCATCGCAGTACGAAATAACATTACTAAAATACAAGGGCTAAGATCACTGGGCCACATGCTATTTCACCGGGGGCCAGATTTAGACTGCGTTCCGCTAGTTGAACATCCGTGCTTTAGATGTTTATAGTTTTGTCATGTTGTTGAAAATACTGTGGTCATCTCTATTCTCTACTTGATTCTTTTTTTTTCTCTCACTATATGTTACTACATACACAAAACAGGATACGTCTGCGTTCATCCGAAGATGTAATTGCCTTGTGTCCGTTTACAGCATGACTGCGAAGTTTGCACCTTTCGGCCAACACATCCGACTTCTGCGGGCATTTGTTGACCGGGTTAGCCTTCAAGGTTAACCAGGATACAGTCTGAGGCTTCCAGATGCAGAATAAAGCTGTTGTTGTTGACACCTTTCAGTCCTTCCAGTCAGTAATATTTCTATAATGCTATGAGGGGGCATGAGACTCACAGCCCATGGCGATGGCGAGTGGGACTAGCAAGAACTCAAAAATGTTGGCATGGGATTTTAGGACCGCTGTCATCATTTGCTTTAGTGTGTTTCTTCTCAGACGTCGTGCTCTCATCCTTCTGCAAACCTTTCTTTCTACAATCCCATTTTCATTCTTGACTAAAGCCGTGCTGGTAACTTTATTACTAGGGATAAGCCCGGATTACCATTTACCTTTTTTGTTTGTTTGTTGGATAGACAGACAGACAGAAACGAAGGAAAACATGACAGAATGTGCTTAACTTGAAGCACACAACAGCTGGATAGACAGAAATCCCTTCCACCCAGACACCTCAGCTACTACTGTTACCTCAGTGTCAGTTTTCCTAGGGACACAGTGTCCCTGCTGACGATTGAAGAGGTATCAAACTCTTTGTAGTCCTCGGACCTCGACATTGTTGCTGGGGAGAAGACAAATTGCAGGTATATATATTGATTTCAATCAAACGTGAAATGTTGCGACAGATAGCTAAATGAACTCTCTTTCTCCTCGTCTTCTCTCTCTTCATTCTCTCTCTCCTCCACCTTCCCCAATTCTTCTTGTATCAGTGACGTTCCCTATCCTTCTGGGTCTTCCTCTGCCTATTAGTTTTTCAGTTTTTCCGTTTTAGGCACTTAATGCTGGCATTGAAATCATTCTAATTAGGCACCCAACTATTTCAGTTTTGGTGTCTTACTAAATTTCGACGGCTTTTGTTTCAAAGGGGAGTCGCTGTGGTCTTGTCGGCTAGACGCCCGCCTGTGGATCGGAAGGTCGTGGCTTCGTGTCCTGACTGAGTCGGACTTTTGTCAAATATGACCTTGACTCCCAGGTCGACCCAGTCTTAAGTGGGTACCAGGTGCAGTCCTGGGAAGCAAAGGCGGCCGGTGTCGTGCTGACCACATCAAACACCAAGCGCGTTTGGTCTATAAAATATAAGTCTTTATTCTCTATATTCCCAATACGCCTAAAGAAGTGGAAAATTGACTCTTTTTTTTTAATTGTTCCACAAGTTTTTGTCTTCATTTCTCATCCTTTATTTTCTGTTTTCGTTCGAACATTTATGAGACATCTTAGTTCATAAGTGGGTAGCTATCGAAGATGATACACTTGCATTAGTTGGAAGAGGTTAACGCGATATGTGCAGCAATCCAACTTGACTCTTTAACCAGGCGATCCTCAACGATTGTACTCTTGTTAATAAAGTTGCGTTGTGCATCCTTTACTGCACGTTGCAGAACCAACCCCATTTTTGTTTTGTTGCTGTTGGAGTTTTTTTTAGAAGAATTCAGGTTCAGTAGTTTGCCATCGCTTTCTTCACGATCGGCCTCTTGATACCCCTGTCGAAAAGCGAAGAACCTGCAGCTGGGATCGAACCCGGCGTTCACAGCGCCTGAGCCACAAAGACGACCCCGTGGCCCACCAAAACAGATGACATTGTTTCATAGCCCATCTGACAGCTAATAAAACACGGAAAAAAAACTGACGCGTGCGACGCCACACTGGCTTATGCCGGATCATATAACGGCTAGCGTTATTCTCAGCGCAGTGGCCTACAGGTGATCGGCTAACTGGTCGCCAATTGGCTGGCCAGTAGACGACTTCGTCGCCAGTCAAAACAGTATTTGGGTCTATCTCTTTTGATCGCATCAGCACTGCGGGAATCTTTTTCACGGCTCTTGGTGGCGTACAATGCTTAGCCATTTTATTTAGCGCACATACCCTAGTCATAATT